CGTAAATTCTTGTGTTCTTGTTTGCTTCTTCTTTATTTTATTATTGTCATCATCTTGCGATCCGTTTCATAACAATTACCATGGCTGCTCTACAGTGTTTTTGTAAAATTTGAAGAATCTTGGTGATTTAGGCGATCAATTGGTGTGGTAATGGTGTTATTGTCATGTCGGTAGTATTTAGTTGTTGTTAGTATGTGTTTGTCTGTCTTTTGACGGCACTTTACACCAGCGAAATTGGTAAAAACCGTATCATATCGTTTATAAAGGTAAGTGCCATTATTGTGCGCGGGATGTCTAGTTCGCTCCATCCTCGGTTATCTTTGACATGTTTTATTTCAGTATGTTGTGATTATAAATTAAAATAGAATTGAATTAATTTCAATTCTGATATAGGGATACTAACTTGTGTGTCACTGTATAGATCTCTAAATATCGATCTTGGATTGAGCAAGGTATCCTAATGTAGTAGGAATTTTATTTTCATATATTTTAAGGTCGTTCGAGAGGACACAAAGATAAATGGACGTGAAATTGTGGAAAATGGAACCTTGTTTAAAAATGTTAAGGTGTCGTTTTTGTGCACGCAGTCTTCGATTTCACTCTAATCATCCGTTATCTTTGAAAACAATTAAAAACTAATAAGAGATGTGATATTGGGTTTTTCTATCTTGTATTAACGACTTTAATAGAATTTGAGTTAATTTTGTTGCTGGTATAGGGATATTCACTCGCTCGTCAATGCATAGACATCTAAGTAATAGCTTTGTATCGAGTACGATGTCTAAACGTAGTAGGAATGCATTTTCATAAATTCTAGGGTCATACAAGAGAACATAAAGAACATTGACGTAAAATTAGTGAAACGACACCCTATCGTTTAAACTGCTTCATGTTGTTTTAGAGCACGAGCTCTGGATTTCACATAATTCATTGATCATATTTTGAAATACAATAGAAAATTTGAATAATTTAACGGAGCTAAGGAATTGAGTTTTGCTGTGTCATCTAGATGAATTCAATAGAATTTGAGTCAACTTTATTTTTAGTTAATGTGGCTACTCATGAGACAGGACGTACACTGGTCAATATAGTGTGAACTTTGTATCAACCATAGTGTCCAAATATCCTGAAAACTTCCATTTGTTCATTTTTATGCGGATACAAGTGAATATAAAGTTAAACGTGCACGAAATTAATTGAAACGATGTCCAGTCATTTAAAATGATAAAATGCCGTTTTGAGTCACAGGGTATCAATTTCACTCCAACACCAGTCCATCATATTTTTGAACATCTTAGAAGACTTGTACAACGTAAATGAGATAATTTATTGAGTAGTTTATCTCTACTTAAAATATAATGAAATTTGAGTCACTTACATCCGTCAATAGTGAAGCCTAGTATAGTTTACCCACGTGAGATAATAGTGTTGGTCACTATCGCGTAAATTTTGTATCGACCATGTTGTCCAAATTTGGTGAAAACATATGACTATTCACTTTGATGTGTATACATTGAGCTCAAAATCAAATTGACGTGAAATTAGTTAAAATGGCACCCAACCATTTAAAACGACAGCATGTCTTTTTGAGTAATGAGGTCTTGAATTCACTCTAAAACTAGTTAATCATATTTTGGACATCTTTAAAGACTTGTACGAGTTAATTTGTTAAGTATATTATCTCATAATTGGAATATAATGAACTTTAAGTTACTTTCGTATTGAAGCCCAATGTAGTTTACTCAATAGACAATAGTATTGGTTGTTATCACGTGAGCTTTGTATCGACATTGAAGTCCAATCCAGTGAAAACTTGCAGAGTGAACACAAATTGAGATGAACAAGAAATTAGTTAAATCGACACCCATGCTTATAAAATGGCAGCATATCATTATAGGCCACGAGATCTTGATTTCAATCAAAAATTAGCCGATCATATTTTGGAACATCTTAGAATTCTTGTATAAATTAAGCCCCTACTTGAGAACAATTATTTGAAAACGCTACTCATTTTTTCAACCATACATTCATACAATAAAGTAATCTGTACATAAACCCAATTTTTTTTATACTTTTTAACAATATATTCTCCTAAAAAATCACTATTTAAAACATGGTCTTTCCCATTTAATGGTTATCAAACAAGGGCTAAATGGGCTAATTTATTGATTATATTATCTCATAGTTGGAATATAATGAAATCTTGTTACTAACCTTCGTTTATAATAAAATCAAGTATAGTCTATTCACGAAACACAATAGTGTTGATCACTATTGCATGAACATTGTATCGATTGTGGTATCCAGATGAAGAGAAAACATGCATTCGTTCACTTTCATGTGGCCATGAATGAGTATAAAGTGAAATGGATACGAAATTAATTGAAATTGCAGTATACCATTTTTGGTTCACTATGTCTTGATTCACTTCAAAACTAGTCGATCATATTTTGGAACATGTTAAAAGACTTGTATAAGTTAAATGAACTAATTTGTTGAATATCTTATCTCATAATTGCAATATAATGGAATTTAAAGTACATACATTCGTTCATAATGAAGTTTAGTGTAATATACATATGGAAGAATAGTGTTAATCACTATTGCGTAAACTTTATATTGACCATGGTGCCTAAATAAAATGAAAACTTGAATTCATTCATTTTCATGTGGATTCAAGTGAACATAAAATGAAACGAACACGAAATTAGTTGAAACGACACCTAGTCGTTTAAAATGACAGCATGTCATTGTGTCACGAGGTCTTGATTCCACTCAAAATATAATGAAAATTTTTATTCATTCATTTTCATGTGAATATGCGAGAATGTAACATGAAAAAAGTACGAAATTAGTTGAAATGACACCTAACCTTTTAAAAGCATCATACTATTTTGCCATTTTTGTCATGAACTACAATAGAACGTGAGAATAAAAGTAGTGGTGATTTATGATTGGAGGATTTGATATATGTTAGTTTTAAATTTGATATTTTAAATATTTCAAGTGAAGGGTATTTAAACCTTTAACATATAATAATATATAATATAAATTATTTGACACAAAATTATTGAGTGAAACCATTTTACAAAATATTATTATTGACTAGGCTTTTTAATCAAAAAAAGCAACTGACTTTAGTCAAGAGGAGCCTACGTGAAGGAAAAGAAAATGATGAATAGTCAAAAAAAGGTTGATAAAAGTCCAAGCACTTCCTATAATATTTCCTCAAAAGCAGGGGTATTATAGGTACAATAATTTGACCAGTGACTTGCCCCGCCGAATGTTACACACGTTTGGCGTCTTGCGGAATCTTGACGCGGTTTCGTTCTCATACATAGTAAATGCATTCATTAAATAGAAAAGGTCTTATTTTCATTCACGCTCTCATAGTTTTCCAATTCTTCATTTTTTTCCCATTATTATTCTTATTTACCTTTTTTTCACATACTTTAGCCTACGTTTGGTACAGCTAAAAAAGCTAATCAAATTTTAAGTCAAAGTCGATATTTCATTTTAATTGCACATTTCAAAAGATTCACAACTTTTTAACCTTACATTTTATCAATTTTTATCAAAATTTATTAAAAATCTGATTTTTATCTAACCAAACAAGGGCTTAGCATGCTTATATTTTTGCTCTCGCGATTCTCTATTACAACTCGAAAATTTTATGATGCATACATTTAGAAATTAAGAATATGTTCTATTTTTATTTTTTTGAATTTTTTTTTTTCCAAATCATTTTTGATCTTCGTCCCAATAAAATAATTTTGCATTTGTACTCATAATTTTTTCCTTATTTTTTAACCACATATTCTCCAAAAATACCACTTTTTGCAAACTCACTTTTCACGAAATTAATCAAACAATAGCTAAGTTTACTTGCCTTATGTAATTGAAAAATATTAAAATTCGATTAAATTAATATTTTGTACGAAAAAGCTTTAATATATCATATATTTACTAAATTTATGTACTAAAAAAAATATAAAGCTTTATTCCTATGAGGTGACTCATATTTTGTATAATTAGAAAAAGTTATTTCTCATTATAATTGTTATTCTTTTGACTTTATTAGGACAACTTTGTTGAAATGAGGATCCAATAATCATGTTTGCATTTAGACAAATATTCAACTGACGCAAAAGTTAAAAAGAAAAAGGAAGATCACTAAAAATTAAAAATTAGACAAGTCGTGTGATTTATTAACATGCTTGTCTAGGTTTCATATTCAACTACGTAAAATATAATGACTATTCATTCTCGTGGATTAGTTATGAAAATTCTTGTCTCGATTTTGTTTCGCGCGTTTACTCGCTAACAATTAAAAATGGATCAAACGATTGTGTAAAGGACAAACCTCTTGAAACAAAGTC